ATTTTTCATGCAAAAAAAAACTATCCTGCTACCTTTTAAAACAGCGAGTTGAGAGCTCCAACAGTGCGACATATCTATATCTACATGGACTGGCGCCATTACGCGGCGTAAATTACAAATCAACTTCCTAACTCCGAAACAACATTAGACGAATGAAAATTGTGGGTATCAACGACGGGGTAGTTGTGCTTTTGGAATTGGATTCCACCTGGACAATTTTTGTTTTAAAGATGTCGCTACTACTAATTTATATCGTTCAATCCAACTACGGTATATTAATTTTATATTCTATATTTCAGGTTTATGACAGAGCAAAGAGGTTTGGAGCAGGGTTAATTTCCACGGGATGCCCCGTAGGACAGAACTCACACATTGGGATTTATTCACAGAACAGAATCGGCGTGAGTGTTCTATTAGTATACCTCATATTAAGTTCAATCCCCTCCCTGAATCATACATAAATATTTGTTAACCTATTTCAACCCGTCGCAGGACCTAACATAACCAGTTGTTATCTACTTTCAATCTGCTCTAGGATCAAACATAAATAGATTAACTCTTTCAACTCGTTCCAAGACCAAACCTGAATTAAAATAATGCATCATCAGTAAGTTATGTAGGTCAATAAATAACATCTACAGCTAAGTCAGAGAGAAGCCCAGTAACACCTACAAGGAGAGTAGTATCATGTCACCTTGTTGTCGTAATGTATCATGTTCATTTCAAATACTTGCTGTTTCAGTGGAACATAACGGAACAGGCCTGCTATATGTATTCTATGGTAACTGTAGCACTGTATGACACTCTTGGAATCGAGGCATGCACTCATATAATCAATCAGTGTAAGTTCATCTTTGATTTGTTATTAAAAGGTGGTGTCGTCGCGCAACGCATGCGCGAGATATGGGTCTCGTATATGAGCAAAGATGGCGACTTTGACTGTTGCGCGAACAAACGAGTATAAAGTGGGGCGTTACCAAGCTTTACCAACGTAATTTATTCGGTGATTGGAAGGAATCGAGAAGTCATTGGCGGTAATTAGTTAACGTAGCGCCAGGTCAAAACTCATACTTGTAATTTCTATTAGAAGAGCGCATTGGTTTGTGGGAAAATCAATGTTTTTCAACACAAATGCTCCACATGCGCGGCACGACGACTACCGCCCTTTAACGTAATGTTTTAAATTTATATGGTTTGAATCGCGAATATGTGGAATAATTCACTATAGTGTATTTTGCGTTTCATAAAGAAATTTCTAACACGCCATTCTTATTACTCGGACGTGGAAAGCTCATAACAAGGCATCATAACCACATTTTATATTTTGTATGTTCTTCTGAAAAATACAAGTTGTATTCTCGGTTATTTGTTTACTCTAGGCGAGATGACAACTATTATTTGTTTACTCTAAGCGATATTACAGCTATTTATGACAACTGTTATTTGTTTACTCTAGGCGAGATGACAACTGTTATTTGTGACGTTGTTAAGAAGGCACACACACTGCTGGATGTTGTGGATAAGACGCCTTCGTTAAAACGCATAGTGGTCATGGACAGGTTCTCCGACGAGGATGTACAGGCCGCAAAACAGAAACAGGTTGAACTGCTGGCTTTTCGCGATGTTGAGGTATGTAGGATTACGTCATTGATATGGCTCGCTGTGATTGCAATACTAGTACCTTTGTTATTGTAATCAAGCATGCATCTCATTCCGTTATTAACGCCAGGGATGAGCATGCATCACAGGCTGGCATTGTTAATCTACAATGTACAACTGCGCATGCGTGAAGCTAGGGGGTTAAGCACGCTTTTTTTGGATTGTTAATATTTCTTAATAATAATGCTCAAATAACGCATGTAAGTATTATGTTATTATTTTCAGATACAGGGAGAAAACAATCCACATGATTTGAAGGTGAGGCAACCAATGTGTACATTCTAAAAAAAATACAGTAGTCGATGTCCTTGTCATCAAAATCAAAATCCTTGTTATATTTCTAAGATCGGGGAAGTAGTACTTTTACCCTTGACTGGGACCGGGACGAATGGTCTGGGGTAAATGTTATACTAGTATGAAAGTTGCACTCCGAACTCATTCACATAAATTTATTGGAATTTATTATATGAACTGTTTTATGATAACTTTTATGAACTATATGCCTGGATATAAAATATCCGAAAATGGTGAATATGGCAATGGTGACGGCAATGGACATATTATTCGATTACTGCCTGATTGTCTTATGCAAGTAATATGCATTACTATTTTCAGTACGCCCTCTAGTGACCGTGATGCCAGTTTTAAAAATAACAAATTCACGAGAAATTTGACATGTTTCATTTTCCTTTCAATAACAGTGCCCATCGCCAGAAGATACTGCTACTATATGTTACACTAGTGGTACGACAGGCCTACCTAAGGGTGCTATCCTAACTCACAGTAATTATTTGGCCGTGATTTCTGCGTGGATGACAATGAAAGGGGTGAGTTGGTTAACAATTACAAAACCAGCGGGACGTTTATTCTATTTTTACCTGGTGTGTACCTACAGTTATTCTTCACAATTCGAAAAATCGTTTACATGTGTTTGAACAAAACATTACAGTGTATATTGACTGCCTTTTTTACTATGATACTGTGACTCAGCCTCGAGTGTACTCGGCGAGCCGATTGCGCCCAGAGTCCCTGTGTATACCGAACAGCCTCGTACGCGAAACTGAAAATCAAGTCTACCTTCACAGTAAACAAACTAATAACAAAATATGTTTATTGCACTGTTCTAGGTGGACGTGGTTTATTCGCCCAGTGATGTCTACATTTCGTACCTTCCGTTAGCACACGTCTATGAACGTTTTGTCCAGGTAAACCATAACAATTTGTTGCGAATGCGCGCGCAGTCATTGATTTAGCCGTATATTTTGTCATTTTTAGTCCCCGTTCGGACGAAGTCCGAAAACGGGGACTTATTATTCGGTCTCCGTGCGTCCGTGTGTCCGTCCGGAGTCATATCTCAGAATCCCTTGGACCGATTCCGTTCATTCTTTGCATGTGCCTAGTACTTTGTGTGGGACATATGCACATGCAGTGGTTTAGTGATTCGATTCAAAATGGCCGACTGGCAGCCATCTTGTTTTTTGAAAATGTTGTATTTTGGACATGCTTTGTCAGTTTTCATTCAAATTTAGTACATAGATCATACATGTTAGGATACATGTCCCCGACCATCTGTGAGTTCCTGAGTCTGTCCGTCCGACCGTCCGTGTGTCCGTCTGTTCGTGCGTCAGTCTATCCAACGTCATATTTCAGAATCCTGTGGGCCGATTCCGTTCATTCTTTGCATGTGCCTAGTACCTTATGTGGGATATATGTACATGCAGTGGTTTAGCGATTCGATTTAAAATGGCCGACTGGCAGCCATCTTGTTTTTTGAAAATGTTGTATTTTGGACATGCGTTGTCATTCAAACTTGGTACATAGATCATACATGTTAGGATACATGTCCATGACGATTTATTTCGCAATTGGATCAAATATGGTCGACTGGCAGGCATCTTGTTTTTTATGCGGTATCTTGGACGTGCTCTGTCAGTTTTCATTCAAATTTGGCACATACATGTCCTTTATACATGTTAGGATGCATGTCCATGACAATTTGTTTCAAAATCTGGTCAAGGATGGCCGATTGACAGCCATCTGACTTTTTGGCCTTACTACTATATTTCCACAATTTATTTGGCACATACATCATACATATCAGTGTGTTTCATAATCAGATCAAAGATGGCTGAATAACGGCTGTTTTTATTTTGGCTATATTACTATGACACGAAACACGTGTTTTGATGTAAATAAACAATCTGTTGTATACGCCACTTGGAACTCAAGTTTCAAGGACACGCTCGCGACAACCCCTCCGCTTTAATATGACGAGCACAAAGAGAACTTAACGGGGACTGTGTCATTTTCAATGACTTGTAATTTGTGTGTTTATCTATTTGAAGAATTTACGCTGAATTAGAACACTAGGGTTTGTTGGTCAATCCATTCAGATCAATCTAGATACATAAGACATTGGCAACTTTTTTACGTAATTCAATAGTGGGATTTCTTGAAACTCT